TCGTTGATCTTCTCAAGAGTGCCAACGTATTTTTCGAGGCGCATCAACTTTTCTTTGATGATCCTTGCCCTTGCTTCGTATTGCTGGCACAATACTTCTACTGTCGCTTTTTGGTCTAACGGAGTTAGATCCATTTGTTGTATTTCATCGAGGAGTCCCTCGAGATTCGCTTTTACTGGTGTAGCTTGAACAATTATACTGGCCGACATACCTTACCTCACCTCGGGCACCAAAATTATTCTTTGTCGTGAAACCTCAAACTTGGGTAATTAAACCTTTATTTAACATGAAGCAATAATAGCGCTTTATACATATTGTACGGATGCTACACCGTTTAACAAACGCGTAAACTATAAAAAATGCAATAATATAAAAATAGTGAAATAACACAAAATTATAAAGTATTAGACGCATCCCAATACCACCCAAAACATAAAGCAAATGATGGTTATAGAAGGATTGGTTGGGTTATATATAAGACTGATTTAACGAATGGAGATTAGATGGGAGGATTTCTCATGGATGAACAAAGAAGATTGTTAACAGGATTAGTTTATATACAGAACTGAACTGACCAGATATTCGGCAGAGGAGGACATTTAAATGATATGAAACAAAGACTGCTAATAAAGGGTTTTGCTAACGAAGGGTTTGCTAACAAAGGGTTTTTGTTGTGCGAGGAAAAGGAATTAGATAAGAGGAATTTGTTAGTTTTGGATATAATAATTTAAATATTTCGTCTTTCACGACAGTAACATTACTCGAACGGTATGTACAAAGGCATCAGAATTCATACAAGAAGGAATGAACCAACTCACAGCAAATTGAAAGCTAGTTAGTCTTTTTATTTGTATTTTTGTTGTAATATCAATTCTAATTGTTGTTAATCTAAAACTAAAGATAATTTGTATACTTTTCAAATGTTTTAAGCGATCACAACAAAAGACGAGCCCTACTGAAATAGAACTAGTGCTTTGTTTAAAAGATGATCAAGATCAAAATTTATCATTACGACCAAATTCAAATCAAATAGATATCTTTAAACATATTCCTAAGAGCTCCTTTTTCCCTTGAGTAGAGAGTGTCGGAAAACCTTTATTACACGCTAAGTGTTTAGAATAATGCTAATGATCCATTACTACGAACCAATTCGTTATTCCTTTGTTATACTCCATTCTTTTTGAAACAATGAATTCTTTATGGAAACCTCAAATAGTAAATGTACATCTGTCTTCACTGTAAATGTTAATCCTCTAAGCTAAGTCCACTTCCTACATCTTTAAAATCTTCTCTAATTAGTAAAAAAGAAACGATCTCTGGCAGTTTTTTCATCCTCCTACTCAATAGTAACATTCATTCCTCCACTGTTTCGATTATTCAATTGTATATTGTGTCGATTTATTATTTTGAAAGAAAATAAATGATATTTGAGCCAATCTTGCTCGCAGACAAGAAGCACAGGGTTCAATTCAAGTCCTACAAACTTAAAGTAAGTCAAGTGAACTTAACTAACCCAAGTCATCTACTCTTCTGACCAAAAAGATATTTGAAATACACAAATCCAGTCTGCTATTCTGTCACTAATTCAAAATGCTAACGGAAACAGTGAAGTGAAAACAAAAGCAAATATCTCAGCCAAACTTTCTTTTAGTAGTTATCCTTAGAACAACAGCTAAGAAAATTCTGATGTAACTGCAACTATCGTATAGCAACTATTGTACTACTCATTCAAAGACGTTTTCTCTGTAGAAATGCGTTCTATTTAAAGAATCACATAAGTAGTGAAAAGTAGCAATGCTTTGTTTATGGAAATGTTAGTGATATTGATCGACTAATAAATGTGAGGACACCATGTACAATAATTATCAGTTCATGTACAGAATTAAATATCAAAATACAGCATTGCTATTAAAGATAAACACCAAATAACAATCATGAAATAAAAACAAATGTTTTTCCAAAGGATATTATAAAGCGTAAACCAAATACAGTATAAAACTACAACTATTTATCAACACACAGCATGTTACAGCAAATGATGCATAATTCAAACGATAAAAGAGAATATTTCCAAATATCCACAAAATTTGGTAAGTGAAAGAAATTAATTATCAACATAACATCGTGAAAGTTAAGATATCGCAAGGTACTCACTGTTATATGTAACTAGTCAAGATTTAAACGAGAACTATTTATCAACACAAAGAACTGATGGATACAGATTAGAATAAATTGTTTACTTTTTCTGCGAGATGTTATTAGGATATCATGTGTTCCCAAAAAAACCTAAATAAAAAAAGTACTGGTTCCACTGATTCATCAAGCAAAAATCTGTGCACAGAATTTTATGAAAGAATGCGATGTCAGTTCAAAACTTTTGTAAACAGAGGGAAGGAAAACTCAAAAATACACATTAGTAAATACATTAATCCACAGGAAACAGGTACACAAATGACGAATGATTAAATATGGCCAAAGGAAGCCAAAGCATTTTAAGCTATACCATCTCAAACTATTTAGATAAGACGTTTTCTCGTTGAAGCTAAATTTAGAAGGAATCGCGAATGTAATATATATATATATATATATATATATATATATATATATATATATATATATATATATATATATATATATATATATATATTACAAATTTTCAAGAATTCCTAAATTTTCAAGAATTCGCAACAACTTGAAGGCCCACAAAACGATCAAAAAAATAAAAATAGAAAAGCGGAATTTTTAGAAAATAAATTATCTTTGCATGACAAGAAGCAAAGTTAATCCACATGTCAGCATGACCATTTAGGGCATAACAAACAACCTACATATTTGATGTTAAAAAGCTTGACTGGTTCATGATGTATAGATACAGTGGAACGATTTAGCTTCAAGATCCTTGCATTTAAAATAATCTCTTTTGAACATCGGTTAAAAGATAAATGTTGTCAACTGCAAAAGCTGTCATTCTTCAATATTTAAAAATGAAAAGGAATAATTACACGAAGTGCCACAATTTGCTAAACTAAATCAATTTTGCTTCTGCAAAACCAAATAAAATCAAAAAGAATCACAAAACATATTGATCCAAAAAAGTGAAAAACAGATCCAGCTCGCATCAAGCTCGGTGTTAGTCTGCGCTCTACAAAAATTTAAGCTATTTAGTTTTGGGATCTGCTGCATAAAACCATGCTCGACAAATATGCTTCACCATGGCAAAATATCAACGATTTTATGGAGTTTTTTATGAAAATTTATTTCAGAAAGATATTATTTCTTTAGTCCTTACTTTAAGAACACTCAGTTAAGTAAAATAATAAGAACTTAAGGAGGACTGGTAGTCAGATATTATATGAATGAATACTGTTCCCGACAGCAATATTGTTAATGTTTTGAAAAGCGACTAAGCTCAACATTATTGCATGCTGACTTTTCTCATCTTCTAAATCTCATACAGCTTTAATTATAGACAAGAAATTAAATAAATCAAGAGATCAGTGCAAAAATGTAAAAGTGAGGGCAGAAGTATAAAGTTAAAAGGATATTACGCTCCGAATATAACAAGAAAACAAATTACAGCACTAAATTTGATCCTAACAGATGAGATGCATGACAAAATTCAAAACTCGTAACATACAAACAGAAAATGGAATATGGGGCAGCACTAACATCGAGCCAATGCATATGAGAATCTATATACCAGATAACATTTCGAATTTCAAAGTAGTGTACAAAATTCCGCATGGGCTATGCTGACTAACGTATAACATTAACGAAATGACGAAAAAAAAAAAAGAAAACATATGGTAAAATCGGGAGCGTACCTTGACTTATAGGAATATTTGTATACAGCTAACAAACCATACCATTCATGGTATTATTTCACTAAGATTACAATCTCAATCATTTCTGATAAGAGCTGATTTATTACAGACTCCAAAAAATTAAGAAAAAGTTTCCCTGAATCAATTGTGCAACGTTGCAAAGAAAAGTGACAAATAAACAAAATGAGTAAAATGAGATGAACATAAATGTTTGTGAGTTATGTACACGAAAAGCTGCATCTTTCAAGGTTCAGAAAAGTTATAAAAAATTTTTCCTGAGAACATATACAGTATATAGAGAGAAAAGATACTAATGAACTGGAACTGGTAATAATAGTTTAGTACTGAATTTATTAACTTCTGGATAAATTATAAATTATAAAGCTTCCAAGTTAAATGGAATTGAGAGTTATTATGGTCAAAGTCAGACATTATCTAATTAGAAATAAAACGAAATTCTACCAACAACTATGGATCAAAATGCTACAACAAATATATAAAATAATTTCATGAATCAACAGTCAGTAAATCTTGGTATTTTTTCTGGTTTCATCATATCTAAGCTAAACAATTTACAACGGATTCACTATTTGTTCATATGTCTCTGAATGTTTAAAAGGATACTGCAAATGACTACGAAAAAGAAACCGATTTAGCATCCCCTGAAAACAGGAAAAAAAAAGGCACTAAGAGTGAGTGTACATGCTTCTTTGAACACATATGAAGATGAGATACAGAAAATGGGAAAAATCAGCGAAATCTCAAGAATCAAAACTCGGTTCTAAACCCATTGATATATATATATATATATATATATATATATATATATATATATATTTCTAGGATATTCTTTTTTAAACAAAGAAAATGAAATCTTTAAATATGGTGCAGCATTACTCTTATTATTTGAATTCCAAACAAATGAGTTCATTTATGAAACTTTGCTTGATTAATTTATGTTTTAGTGGTTAGTGAAGAGACAATAAAGTATGCTAGTTTGATGAATTTAAATATGATAAAGCAAAAGCGACAGATTACCACAACCAGAATGACGGTAATGAAGACTGCCAGTTCTATTCAGGCTAGAATTTGTAATGTCGGCAGTAAAAACACATGTCGATTTTGCAGTATAATTCAACAAAATATAGAGATTTTTCAACAATCAAGATTTCATGTCTATGCAGTTCTGCCCAGAAAGCCCTTGACTTGTATAACTGACTGAGCTTCAACAACCTGAAAAAAAGTATTAAAAGTGAAACGATTTGTTGTAGCTTTAAGCAAAAAGAAAAAATTAATGAACGAATAATACAACACACCTCATTTCTATAAATGGCATTTTCGGCCATACGATCACGAATTCGAGTCAAAAGCTTGCCCAACAAATTCAGACCCCTCCACCGCTGTGGATCACAAGCATCTGGTTCGTCCATTCCCAATCCAATACCCCATCGCTGATCTCGAGGATTACACTCAACCAAAATTGTGTACATTGTACGAAATAGTGCTTGTCGAAGATCTTTATTCTGCTCGTACTGAAATAGCAATCATATCTCTGAACATCAATCAATAATGGCAAACTTAATTTTATAAATAAAGGAATTTTTAAACATCTGATCATTACACCTCAATATTTCCTTTAAATTTGGAGTTTTCTGAGTCATACACTAAGCTTCATTATATAACAGAATACCAATTAGGTTTATGTGAAACTAATAACTGTAAATCATACTGCATATATAGTAAATTAATCAGTAGAAGTAAATGACACAAAAATTAAATGAAAAGCAAAATGGTATTCGCCTTTCTTTGATTGGCAATGGCCATTACTTGCGTCGAAAATTTGTCCCAAATTGGTTGGCTAAAATTTTTCACTTTTGCGCCCAGTATTTTCATTTGTTTCGGATCACGACTTGCCATTATCGCCATCGCAGTATCTTCGTCCTTGAACAATTCTAAAACACATAGTTTTATGAAAAAATATTGCATGAAATATATAAATTCAATTCCATTTACTGATAATAAAATGTAATGAATTAAAAGCGGGAGGATTGAGAATTACAAAAGAATAAGAACTATTTACTGGAACACAGAAAAAGCCGTAATGACTGCAAAGGAAGAAATTCCAACCGTGCCGGACATTCTCAACATTCATATTAACTCGGGATTGACTTGGTACATTTACTTAAAACTACGGAACTGCAACAATTAGTTTACCCCCATTGCTTGACACTTCATTATTGTATTCTCAAGTAAGTAATATAAAACGCATAAAAACCACACTACTTTTATTTAGATGATGACTAAAGAACTTACTAGCTTTCCAGTACATGTAGTACTGTTCTGTGCAAATAAAATTCATTCCATCAATGCATAGTTGTTGACACAAGTAATGATTACTGAAGACGTATTTGTCAGTGAAAAACAATGTTAGTGGCTCATTACGGGGTGACAACCGCACTGGAGCTACTAAAGGCTGCAAGTAATAATCATTATAACAGTGGAGAAATAATTAAAAATTTTTAGGTAACTTTCTCGAATCAGGTATATTTTTGGACAAAGTTCCAAAACCCAATCCGAATAAAAGTTTATTCTAAAACAAATAAAGCCAATTTACTAAGTTGAATACATATACTTTCTATTTAATTCATATGTTTTGCAAATGTAGTGAAACTCCAGTAATATTTGCTTCGATAAACTGCTGCAATCGATTCCATAATTTCCAGTGTTCAAGCATTTCTTTTTCTAGAGCAGTAAATAACGACATGAGATTTATAGTAGAATAACTTCTGAGAATGAGAATTTTTGGCAGAAGACAAGTTTGATATGTCAAATTTGGTGAGATTGTATCGCTGTTGACGGAGAAAATTTTAGCTTGCAATGGAATTTGAATGATGACATCGGTTAATAAAAGACCTGGCATTTCAGTTATTAACTTATAATGTATTCATGAGCTGTAGAGAACATTTGATTAGCATTAAATTGTCTTTTTCAGAAAGCAGTGTTGTAAAAAAGTGAAAGATTTTAAAATCAAAAGACCGACCATTCTTGGACGAATAATTGAGCATTCGGTTTTCTGTTCCTTATTTCTTAAAGATGAACTGCTGTTGCCGGCGCTGTGATAAGATGACCATTGTTTTAACGAACAGCAGTGGAGCCGTAATGCACATTTGTGTCGTTGAGTTGCTGTTGACCAGCTGTAGTGACACGCAAAGTCCACCAAATCGTCAGTCCGCGAAGTAAGTCCAACAGATACACCACTTTCAGATGCAAAGCTATAAATGAACCGCTACTGAAATATTTTGTAAACGATAAAATAACTCTATCTACAATACAGAGAAGAAAAAATGACTTAAAATATTAAGCGGCAATTCACATTTCACAAGCACACTTTAAACATATCTGAATATTATGATACAGCATACAACCTATACACAAAATAAAAAGTAAAACGTTATTACAAATGTAACATCAAACCTATGTAAACGGAAGTAGCCAGAAATATACCTCGAGTGCTGCCGTTTAATACAAAACGGCACTTCTTGTGCAGAAGCAGACAACGTGCTACCTGAATTGTCGAAAAAACCACCGGTTTGGTCAATATCTGCACCGATCTCATAATCAAGATTAGGAGTACTGAAGTTACCGCTATAATTAACACCACTATTACTTTCTAAATTAAGATTACACTGATAGTTATGGCTGATTGCAGTTGAGAAACAGCTAGCAATAGAAGTAAACATTGTGCCACTACTGTACATTGCTGGTAATGTTGACCAATGGTGTTGCCCACTGTTCAATGTTCTCGGTTCATTATTAGCAATCGGATTATTGAGAAACACTGCATGTAGAAGATTCAACAGTTCTGTAGTGGTGCTAGCTGAAGGAAAAGCTGTATTTACTGACGATCGGATACTGGGTACTACAGGTGCAGTTGAAGAGCAGCATGACTGCTGCGCACAAAAACCGGATATTGTGCTATAACACCTTGATTGTGGTGGTAAAATATTACGACTGCTGGGTATCATCATCCAAGTTATACTTATGGAATAGTCATATCAGGTGCTGAAAATCTATAAAATTAAGAAGTAATAAATAATGTATAATTACTAAATCCCTCTTTGTGCTTAAACTTACAGAAATGACACAAAAATGTTAAGGCACTACAAATATAAAACTTAAGCACAAAACCTCATTAGTATCCTCAAAAACACTTCATGTTAAAAGACGTAATCAATCCATGAAACAAACACTCAAATAAGATATGCATACCGACTTTTTACGGTTGAGGAACTATGGTTCACAAACACAGATTCAACCCACGAGAAAATATCTATCAAACTTCCATAAAGAATGGCTTTCCGCAAAGAACAGACGGTACTTTACTATACAAAACGCAAAATGCAATATAATTAAACAATAATTTGTTAATATAACTGGCATTTTCAAACAAGTTATGTGTCTGTACTTTCAAACCAAAACTCTAACTCGAATACTGCGTCGCTCTTCTCTTTTAAGGTTAAACGTATAGTCTGAAAATAATCGTTTATCACACACACAAAAAAAATCTATGTTCAATAAAATCAAGTGTATGGTCCAGTATTTTATACTTAATAATGATTTTAACTGTTGTTTTAGATGATTATGCTGAAATTTATTATGACTTATTATGACGAAATTTATTATGAAATTAACGGAGATCAATAATTATAATATCAACGAACATTTAATAGCGTAAACTGACAAGAGAATAAAAGAATAAAAAGATGACACAGTCAAGAAAATGTTACGATAATACCGAACAAAACCCATTTAATTGATTTCTGTAAGAGAATAATAAACAGTGACACAAAAAGCATCGTAAAGCTTAAAAATACTTTGGGACAGAAGTGATCGATAGTTGAACCTAACCTCATTCCCTTCCTCAGAGTTCTCCTTTGAATTATCAACGGTTCATCTGAAAAAAGAAAAAATGACATTAAAATCTAGTTCTCACCACATCACACATTAACGGAGGTGAGAAAAGTTAACCGAAGAACTGGGGTTATATTTAAGACAGCAACTTGCACAGTAATTACTTAAATGAACTGGCGTAGTTCCTGAGCTCGGCAGAGATATTTAAGGGAAACAAAATTCTGATGAACATCAATGAAAAGCGATCAAATGACGATACCAGTGGACCTTTTATATTCTACGAAACCACGTTTTGTTTATGAAAACAGTGTTGTTTTACAATTAACTTGCTAACACCATCAGAAGCTCAACATCAATAATTAAAAAACTTTCTACGAAAGATAAACACAAACTCAGTTCAAACTTGTTAACTAACTTTCCTAAAACTGAAAAACTATCAAATCGTTCAAATACTTCGTACAAAAAAATTCAATATAGTGATTGAAGGTAAAGATCCAGCTGAGACACAGCTCACAGCCTTGTTTTCCAATGCATAATTCTTTACAATTAAATGCACTGTAATGAAAAGTATGCATTAATGGTGGAATACCACTCTCAAATGAATTTGAGTAATATTACCAGGCATTAATGAAATTATAATTACTTACAGCCATATATTGCGAAAACTATGCTAACTCAATAGCTTTGGATATGATTATTCATAACGTGTGGCGTAAAAAAACGACAAAATGCAACATGCAACTTCATCAGAAAATGCTCTTGTAACATATTTTTTGCCCCGCTTACATACAATGAAAGCACCTAAATTAAACTTACAGAACTTTAAAATATCGAAATTTATATAGGAACAAATCACATTTGAAATGTGCGTTGCATTTCGGTATAAGTGAAGCAAAGTGGTGGGCAATACAGCGTGATGGCAAGTAACATTCACCATTATGATATTAATTCATCACGAAGTTAAAATATAACTGCTTCCAATTTGAATAAAATTCATAAACAAAACTAAACTACAGGATAATGACGTATCGTATTCTTAAAGTTATGGGCGATTGAAACAACAGAGTAGATAACTTATTAGACAAATAAAACCACTGAACTAAATAACTGCATCAGTTTCTCGAGAAAGACTTGTTTACAATGGATGAAAAAACCTAACTTTCCAACTGAATTGTATTACAGAAAATTTTGGGGGTCCTAATAATTCTGAAAATAGATAATGATAATTACTAAAACGTAAACCGTACTGACATCCACAATCTATAAGCGACATTTTGTGCAGAAACACGGATACATCTTTTCCGAAAGATGTCATCAATCATTCAATATGCAACTTTTTTGATAAAAAACAGCAGAATTCATGTGTAATGTACAATGAGTATCAGCTGATGATGGGTCTTTATCGTAACAAAAACACATGTGCTTCTACAACAACGGAATTCGCAGAATTAATAAAAGGAATACACGTCATATTTTTCTAAGAAGGAATTGCCACTAATATTTAATGAAGTTAAAACATTCTGCTACGTGTGAAAACAAATAAAATTGCGTCTGTCACCTTTTATGCTTCACCATTAGCGATTGACAAACTACTGCAACGAATTTTTTGGATAGTGGTTAACAAAAAACAAATTAAAATCATCATTGTCAGATTCTTACTATCATATGTATTCTACTTTATTTGAAAGTAAGCGTAGTGGGATAAACTTATTCAATTTTTGGTGGCCATTAATTTTCATGCATTTTCCACTTTAAATCCTTTTATACTGCTTTATAATACGGCTTTATAATATCTCAATTTCTAAGGGTTCTGTTCTAATTCTGGGATACATCACTTCTACAAACCTCTCCGACTGATGAACGACATACAATACAGCTCCGTAAAATTTGAACAGTAAGATAAACAATATATATAATTTCTAGGTGTAGAAAGTGAAAGATTCTAATATGCATTAACTAAGTGAAGAAACTTTGGATCTTCATTAACCACTCTTTTCATTCGTCACCTCCATCTCTTAAAGTTTTATTTAACGAACAACTAATAATCGAACTACTAACAGATAATTAAGTTCTGCTATATTCAACGCACAGTTTCTGTGGATAGAAAGCTTTCATACATACTAATAAAGGAATGGTAAGGGAGTTTTAGTGGCAAAAACTGCAACTGAAAAACAAGTGTACAAACAATGTACTGAAGTGACAACACAATAAATCGCTAAAGAATAAAATCAGACTAAGTCAAAATGAATTTTTAAATGAATTCACGACCAAGGTCCAGGTTTGGTGCTACTCGTGGTGAGTACACCACACAGAACAAACTCACGACATCACCAGTTCCTTTCATAGAACAACGTTATCTGAGAAGCATTACTCCAGTTGCGAGTCAAATTACCATAAATTCTGAAAACTCCAGCGCGTATCTTCATACTAACCTCAGCAACTTCCTCCAACCACATCTATTTTGGCAAGTTTTTTTCATTGTCCACTTGCAAACATCGGCCAACCGTAAAACATTAACACAAGATATCAGTACAAGCTTGTTCGGAATATTGCTTATTTAGTCAAGTTGACTGTTGGCGGTTTACACAGGTGCAGTTTAGGCACTGTTGCAGACGAACGAGTTCGAATATGGAAGAAAAATAAGAGCGATAGAAAATGGATTTGGAAGTAAAGTTGGATTTCGAGTTGTTTACGTATAAACTTTAGCATCTTGTTTATCATTTTACTGATTAGTGAAAGTAAAGGAGTAAAGTTGCATATAAAGTTGTGAGAAATATATGGTTGAAAACAATATATATATGTATATATATATATATAATAATTACTGATGTTTTGGTGCATGACCGAATTTACAAGTAAAAAATACAGTAACGTATATTTAATTTGAATTAAATAAGCAGAGCAAATGAATACTACTTGTTCGTCCAGTTTCATGCATTTTGTTGTCAACAAAACTATATTTGCATTGCAGAACTGAGCCATTTGTCACGCTGGCGATTTATGGTTGGCATAAGCTTATGGACTGATATGATAGTTGTTGATTTATTAACTCAGTCGCTGTTCCAAATGAAAGATTGTGTTCATAAATAAAAAGATTTTTAGCTACTGAAATTCTGCAATACTTATGAAAGTCATCATATAAGCTTTCCTCACGGAGTTCTATACGTTGATCACTTTTGTCTCTCTTGTACTCACTTATTATCGAATTTTTGTTGGAATCAACTTGATTTATTGTTGGCTCTTAGTTTTTCAGTATCATTCGCAAAAGAAAAGGTTTTCACAATGTTTACTGTTCTGTTCTCATTAATGTATGGGTTCAGTTTCTTAGTGCGGAATCACTTCAAATTTGGTACGTAAGTATTGAAGTATTGTTGCTGTCACTATTCCTTGAGAATTGCTCTGTGTGATGCATCTGCCTTTTTTGGCTTATATACGATAAGAAACACAATATTTGATAACTAAGACAATTTTCATTGGTGCAACTATTTTAGCCTGAAAACAGTTTGATCTTCTTTTTTGACGTCAATATGGTTGAGCCACATGCTTAATGAAGGACAGAAACGTTTGTTACAGTCTTTTCAAAACTACTCCCTGAAGCATACGCTGCTTTCACCGACTGCTCCCGGACGGAGCTCATTTTCAGGATAAATTAGTGTTGGCAGAGCAGTCGTCGGACAGCCGTTCTCCATTTTTTGCTGATAATATCGATGAGCTTACATTGTGAGAATGACGGACAATTCGATCTCTGCTTTCTTTGAAAGAGGCGGATGATTGCGACAACAGGTTGTGAAGCTTGAGGCATGAGGTGAAGATGTGAGGGGGTGGCAACTATTTTCGTAAAATTGCAGCTTAAGCTTTTCCGCCGATTTCAGAACTGCGGAGTTTAGTATATGAACATATTCTACCTCAGTTAGACAACTAGAGTACATTGGAGAGACTGGAAAGTAAACTGAGGTTTCACTTAGCAGGTTACAACTACGTGTCAAATGGTGGGCCATTCAGATGAGTGCTTCGAGATGCGTATTGTGATGATCAACATCTTGAAATAGTGTGTTATTAAAATACTTCCGTTGAAACTTCTTCAATTTATTGTTTTTGGTTTTTTTTTTTTTTT